GGGTTGGGTGACATGAGTTGTTTCTCCTTTTTCCACCTTTTCCCTAAAACTTCCCAGAACATGAAGGAAGAGGTAGACCAGAAATACTACAGTTGAAGAATTAATTCGTGGGGAAATTCCAAATGCATTTTCTCCAACAAGCTACACGATCCATGGAGGCAGAGTGGTCAGGATATCGCAAAATCTATTTAGTTCCTAATATACGCATAGTCCTTTGAAGGATTTCTGTGTATTGTACATTTACTATTCATAGGGAGTAATAAGACTTCCTCCTGTGCCCTCTAAATGCACACCCTAGCCCCTAATAGATATGGACTTTAAAATTTTAGCCACCTTTCATTGCACACTTGCTGAGTGGCAGCAGGGTTAGGAATTGTAAGCCTCGTTCTACGGGTATGGTATCAGAGGCAGAGAGAGCCCAGACTCCACATCTGGTAAGCAGCTTCAAAACCTGTGATGCTCCCTGGTGTCATGCTGAAATTCTGTTCACAAAGACTCAACAATTCACTTAAATATCAGAGAAAAATCAGGGAGTCTATGCTGGTCATTTTTCCTAAAGAATTGTGTTTGTGCCAAAATGTGGGCTTGAATAGGTGGGGGTGGGAACAGGTAGAAAAAAAGGCTGAAGAGATGTAGGACTGCCAGACTTAGCAAATAAAAATATAGACACTTAGCTAAATGTGAATTTCAGATAAGAGAGAAAAATCTCCAGAGGAAAATAAAAGGAAAACTGAATTTCCCAGGGTCTCCTCCAGAGGGAGGTTCTGCTGTCTTTTACTCAAAGCATCTTGAAATCCCACTGCATCCTCAAGTGAAAGGGTGGAGAACTGGAGAGCTACCTTAGGGCTCCCCTCCAAGACTTGCCTCTGTCCAGGCTACAGCTCCAGCAGAATCCCCCAAAAATCCACTTTGGAAGGTTCCACTCAATTCCAGTGAATTCAAGAAGCGTCTCCTAGGCGGTTATAACATGCTGGGCACCATGTGAGTCACTGGGATACAACCTCTGCCCTCCCAGGCCAGTTGGAGGGACAGGTGCAAATGCCACCCCACTACTGAATAAAGCACGTGGGGTAGAGCTTTTGCCTCAAACAAGAGGACAATGGCACCAGACCAAAACAATGTAATCTGAAAACTGAAACTTAGGAGAGCGTTGGGCTGGGGGGAGGAACCACTGACTGTGAGTCCCCAGCCTGGCGATAGGACTTCTTGGATGCTCCACAGGCCAGGGAGCAGGAAGGACCTATGAGCTGCTGCTTTTAAAGGTGAATGCCCACATACAATGATATGAGGAATACCAGAAAGCATCCAAATATCCTTTCCTACCACCCGTCATGATGCCTGGAATACCACCTTTAGAATATTTTTTACAAGGTTCTTAAAGTTCTTCATTCATTGAGAGACCCGTATTAATATGTCAGAGTTCCCCAGGAAGGAGTAATCAACTGACTCAATACAACAGATTTCTTGAACATTTATTCTGTGACAAACACAATAAATAAGAAAAAATCGTGACCTTCAAGACGCTCACATTTTTTTTTTTTTTTTTTTGAGACAGAGTCTCACTGTGTTGCCTGGGCTAGAGTGCCGTAGCGTCATCCTAGCTGACAGCAACCTCATACTCCTGGGCTCAAGCGATCCTCCTGCCTCAGCCTCCCGAGTAGCTGGGACTACAGACATGCGCCAC